GCTACGAAACAATATTTTTAATTTTTTTTATACACTGTCAACTGACTCAACTGTAAAACATTTGCAAAATTGCATACAAACGTTTAAAAAGTTGTTTACTTCTCAAGAAAACGTTCACGTTTTTAGTTGTGTTTCTACAAGATTAAAGTGATTATATGTAAACAGAAAAATATTTCAGTTTCATAGCCTAATTGTTCATTTTTAGCAAAAAGTACAAAACCAAACATGAAACAAAAAAACACGTCCACCTGTTAATAGGTTGTTACAGCTCATAGATTGAGTAAACGGCAGGATTCAATTAGCTTCAACCTTGTTTTCATCGATTTAATCCTTCACAATAATCCTTGGCTGTCCATAGCACTCAAATAAATCGAAAAGTTGACAGAAACAAAACAGTAAATACAACATTGCGGCTCGTTTTTGCTGAATGAAAACTCGTTCTGCGCCCGCGTACAATCTTTCACTAGTCAGCGACGCTTTTCAATAGGGGAATTTCTCGAGTTACACGAGGCTATTTTCTAACTTTATTTGCATTTTACTCATTAGTTTCATCGGTGACCTATCTTCAAATTTTGACCACGAATTTATTTTGCGGTAAATTTTTATAAATTTCAAATTTTAAAAAAATCTGTAGTGTGGAAATTTCGCAATAAATTTTTCGCTTTTAAAAAAATCACACACTACAGAATTTTTTTAAACTTTTACAACAGTTGCAGAGCATCATTCCTTATTGATATATGAAATAAAAAAGATAGGTCACCGACCTCGTTTTTGAGATAGCGGCACATTTATGGGTTAAATTGGAAGGCTTTATGCTGTCGTCATGTTGCCATGGGAACATTGACATCGTCGAAATCTAGTTCGAAATATTCCTTAGGTGACCAATATTGCCACCAAGTTGAAAAGAATTCGCGTTCTGCACGAATAAGCCTGTTTTACGGAATTATTGCTTAAACAAGAATAACTGTAGGGAGCCACCTTAAATAAAAATTTTAGTCAGAGAACGTTTATGTTTTTAATTATGTCTAAACTGGCTACGCTATCTCCATATTTTTAGTCTTAATATTGTTACTAAAAATCTAAAACCTCAGTTTAAATTATAAATAAGAACGCCAATTTTCAATTTTTATTTGTAAATATAGTAGGATTTTAATCAGTTTTAACTAAGGTTTTCGATTTTTTTAGTCACAATATTCAAGACTGTGTTGAAAGAGAATTAATAAAGATATTATTTTAATCTTTCCTTGCTTTGACTAACTGTCAGTATAATCTGCAGACCAAGTACAAAATGCAGAATAGGTATAAATTGCAGACAGAAATTAATACAGACTTGGTATAAAATACAGTGAGTGAAAAAACATATATCTTTTTAATATGTCATACCGAGTGTCATATTGTCATGAAGTTCAAATTATTTACAACTTCGAGTTTTGCGGTTTATTGTCGATGCATGCATGTTAATGTATGAGCTTTGATGAATTGATGCTTTATATAAAAAGGTTTAGAATGATTTTTAAGATATTTTAGTGAAAATTATTGCAAAATTTAAACACAACAAAATCATAATATTACTGCTATAGTCAGACGTAAGCGGGTTTAATACACAATTTGTTTCATTCTCAAACTTAAAAGTCATTCACTACACAAATTTATTTTTGTGATGGTTTGTTGTTTCTTTTAGTTTGTGTATCTAGCTCATTTTAGTTCAATATTCTTCTTTACTCTTTAGGTATTAAGTCTATTAAGTACGATTTAAAATGTCTTAACTTTTGCTTATGTTTGCTATATTTTATAGCAGTTCCCACAACCGTCTCGTGACATAAAACTGACATTTGAGTCTAATTAGATTATATTTTGGTAAGTCGCATAATTTTGAAAACGGGTGTATATAACGTGTAGTTTTGTACTTTTTTTTTCACTCAGTCTGTATTTTATACCAAGTCTGTAATTTCAGTCTGCAATTTATACCTATTCTGCATTTTGTACTTGGTCTGCAGATTATACTGACCGTTAGTCAAAGCAAGGAAAGATTAAAATAATATTAATTAATTAATTCATAATAATTATTTATTATAATAATTATTATTAATTATTAATTAATTATTATTAATTCTCTTTCAACACAGTCTTGATCGAATATTGTGACTAAAAAAAATCGAAAACGTTAGTTAAAACTGATTAAAATCCTACTATTTACAAATAAAAATTGAAAATTGGCGTTCTTATTTATAATTCAAACTAAGGTTTTAGATTTTTAGTAACAATATTAAGACTGTGTTGAAGAGAAATATAGACATTGATCTCGTCCAAAAGCACAAATTTATCGTAATCTTTCCTTGCTTCGACTAAAAGAGACTTTGATATATCGAGTCATTGATATACTATAATATTTATAGTAAATTTATACCGGAAATAGGAAACACAGCAATAGGAAACACGGTAATAGGTAATAGGAAATAGCCCGCCGGCGAACACAGCAATAGGGAATGTCCCTATACGTCGTGTGTCGTGTGTCGTGGGTAAAAAGTCGTGTGTCGTGGGTAAAGTTGTGGGTAAAGTCGTGGGTGGGTTTTTTTCGTACTTTTTCCATTTATGCACTAGATAAATACAGGAAAATTTAACGCAACAAATCTCCAGTAATAAAATAATTTCTTATCTTGCTGTTATATCTATAGTAGATAACAAGTAAATGTTTGATTATGTTTCCGTTTCGTATAGTCTAACAACCCTATAGAGTATAAATATTGTTTGATGATAAATGTTATAGGATATAGGTTTATTAGCTTTGGAAGTGTTATAGTCCCCATCATGAACGTCGCGAATAACTATGTCGATTGCATATGTCTGATACAAACATATTGAACTATAAATTTTACGCTGTATAAGTGGCCAACGTTAACGCTCAAGCCTCAAATTTTGCTATTTTATCTCCTAGACCTAGTATATGTTCGTGGCCCTTAAAGGTAGACAAACATTTCATGTGTATGTGACGTTCGGAAATATTCCATAAATTGCTACGATTTGGGATTTCCCGATTGAAAACCGAAATGATTTGTGCGATGTCGGGCTAATTGCCAACCGAGCGCGCTAGCCGCTGTTATATTTTGACAGAATATGATACCTCTACACTTTTCAGCCGTAATATACATAATGCGCGGATTGTAATCATATACATATCGTTTAATTTAGCTTCAAAAATTTATGTTGTTAAATGTAAAATGCACGGCATGTTGCGTACATTATCAAAGAAAAAAGGCTGACTTTATTAGACTGAAATAAGCAAGATTTCCCGTTACATACATGATTTATACCGAGGCGGCGTTGCATGTGCTCTGCCTCTGGCAACTATGACACCATTGCCCTCCGCGGGAACCAACACGAATAACATGTTTTTTATCAAGTTTTTGAAGCAAATTAAACGATATGTATATGATTAAAAATGCGCGCTGAAAATTACGGCTGAAAAGTGTAGATGTATCATATTCTCGGTCGAAATAACAGCGGCTAGCGCGCTCGGTTGGCAATTAGCCCGACATCGCACAAATCATTTCGGTTTTCAATCGGGAAATCCCAAATCGTAGCAATTTATGGAATACTTCCGAACGCCACATACACATGAAACTTTTCGGTCTACCTTTAAGGGCCATGAACATATACTAGGTCTAGGAGATAAAATAGCAAAATTTGAGGCTCGAGCGTTGGCCACTAATTATACAGGCACAGCGTAAAATTTATAGCTCAATATGTCTGTATCAGACATATGCAATCGACATAGTTATTCGCGACGTTCATGATAGGGACTATAACACTTCTAAAGCTAATAAACATATATCCTATAACTTAAGACATTTTATCATCAAACAATACATTTATACTCTATAGGCTTATTAGACTATGCGAAACGGAAACATAATCAAACAATTTACCTATACTATAGATAACAGCAAGATAAGAAATTATTTTATTACTGGAAATTTGTTGCGTTAAACTTTCCTGTATTTATCTAGTACATAAATGGAAAAAGTACGAAAAAATATTAAAAATAAAAATAATATATTTGTGAAAAAATGCGTTTTTAGCACATTTTATGACCCACGACTTTACCCACGACTTTACCCACGACTTTACCCACGACTTTACCCACGACACACGACTTTTAACCCACGACACACGACATATAGGGACACTCAGCAATAGGAAACACGGTAATAGGCAATAGGAAATAGCCCGCCAGCTTATCCCATACCTGTGTTAAAAGCGGCTTTCTGATTGGTTTAGAGCAGGTGAGCTTGTCGTCGAGCTCACCTGCTTTTCGCCGAACTCACCCGCGAAACTGCTCACGTTGCAATAACAATAACAAATATGGCGGACAAGATTTAGCCGCCCTCGGTGCGTCCAATCCCCGACTCACCTCCCTGCAAGTACGTTTGTTATAGAACCAAATAGCCCGCCAGCGAACCCACTTTTTCAACACGGAAATAGGTAATAGCAATTACACTTCTGGGCTTCCGTAAATATGATAGCATCTTTTCTGACGCCCACGCTCTCCATCCATGACCATAAATCATAATAAATTTAATGTTGATTATGAACTATGGCGCGTGACTTCAGCAGCTACCTCATAATTCTCATCGCCATAATATTTCTCATATTGCTATGGAAAGCCGTAACTTTGTTATTCAGCGAATCACAAATTCCAGGCCCTAGGGGAAATTGGTTACTTGGACAACTATTTGAACTCAGGGAAAGTAAGGATGTGATGCAAACTTTCGTCGAATGGGGAAAAATCTACGGACCGATTGTTCAATTTCGACCTCTGGGAATATTTGGTAAGCATGAGATTTTATTCAGATGATATATTATATATAACATTATAAGCATGACGCGTTTCGAGTCCGAGTATAAATGACTCAGCGAAATATATGCCGGAAAAATTTCACACCATTATAAACTGTGATTAGTCATTAGACATTACACGAAATGAAATCGTGCATGCGGCCATGCGCAGCAATGTCTGATAAATTAAGCTTCGCCAGAAAAATTTCCGCTTCGCCAGTCGGCTGTCGCAGATAATTAGATATCTCATATCTATGGTAAAAGTCAGTTCACCAAGTCAGTTCTATACTCACTGTGAAAGCGAACGAAGTGGGCAAATTCAATAGAATCGTTCATGAGTCACTGAAGTGAAGCTGTCACGACATTGGTCACGACATTCATCACGACATTCATCACGACATTCATCACAACATTCGCACCGACATTTTTCACCAGATTAAAAGAGATTAACTAAACAGATAACGACCACATGTGGTGAGCTCGCTATTTCCGCTCGCTATTTTTTTTATAGAGAGTGCAGCCATCCATATTTCGCAGACACAATTTCTCGCGAAGAATTTCGCCGTCGTGGAATCAGGCCTTTTGAATCGTAATCGCTGTAGTCTGTATACGGTTATGAATATTCTACAAATTATATACTAGAATTATATACTTAGAATTTAATATATACTAGTGCTTTACTGCTGCCTTTTACCACATGAATGCAAAATTAATTTAACTTGTATCACAAAATAAATAATAAGACCAGAAGTCTCACTCGATGTCGGAATCTTTGATGTTGATGTCCCCGCGCATGTCGCCTCGCGCATCTTGGCCGCTTCTCGTTTCCAGTGCCCTAAACACAGTGTGACCATATTCAAAACTTGAATAACTTAGTTCTTGCACTTCACTTGGTAGAATGTTAGGGTTTGTAATCCAAGTGAGAATATATACATTTTAAGACCTAACCAGGAACGACTGCGAAAAATGCAGCACAAGGTCCTCTGGTGGGAATCGAACCTACGGCCCTGCGATTCCGGAGCAGCGCTCTAACCAACTGAGCTACAGAGGGCCGTAGGTTCGATTCCTACCGGAGGACCTTGTGCTGCATTTTTCGCAGTCGTTCCTGGTTAGGTCTTAAAATGTATATATTCTCACTTTGATTACAAACCCTAACATCCTAATATTATGACCATATTCAGTATATTTTTTTTACTTTTGGTAACATTTCGACAATTTTGATAGAAATTTGGTAAAAAAGATTTTTTAGTAAAATTTTGGTAAAATTTCTTAAAATTCAAGGATTTGGTAACTTTTTTGGTAAAATTCTATATTAAAACGTTTGATGATGACCAGAAAACCCTGCAAAGTGCGAAGTACATGCCTTCCTGATGCTGTGGCGATATATGGCTCACTTCTGAATCGGAGCCTGTGTTCTGTTTGCTCATTGCATGCTTCAGTTTACGTCATTTATCACCTCTTTTGAACGAATAACATGAAGTAGCGCACGCAGGTGAAAATTGGGCATTTGACGAATTTCATTTCATAGTATTTTGTCTGAATCAGACTCCGAAACTGATTCGGACAAAATACTATCCATTAACCCCCCCCCCCCCTGGAGTGGGATGGGTAAAATCCAAATCTGGTAAAATTTTGGCCTATTTAGTAAAATTTTAGCAAAGGTTTAGTAAAATCCTCTGAGAAACATCTGGTCCACTGATCTGAATAATACTAGTATTATTCTAATACTAAGTATTATTCAGATCAGTGATCTGGTCACACCCACTGAGCTATAATATATTTGTTTTCTACTTATTTTTGAAAGGTTCGGTATAATATACCATTTATAGACCTTTCACTCGGGGTATTTCACAAAAAATTACCCTGCGGGATGAAATGTTCCTCGGGCTTCGCCCTCGGAATATTTCATCCCTCAGGGTAATTTTTTGTGGAATACCCCTCGTTTCAGGTCTATAACTGATAATAGTTTCATCCAGGTTTCATCACGATGAAAATATGTTGATTTTCGATATCATGCCTACTACTTCATGTAATTCAAACATTGTATTACAAGGACTGACCATAGTAGCGTGGGCTCATACTAGAACGATTGACTTTGCTTACACATACAAATGTACGGGAAATGTTTGAATTACATGAAGTAGAAGGCATGATATTATCGAAAACATAAAAATCAGCTAATTTTGATCCTTTTATGACTATGTCTGCGGATTGTTGTGATATAAATATGGGATATTCGTTGATGACAAGGTATTTATAAAACACAATCGTACTTTTCTGCCCCCTGTGTTGTATCACAGAATAAGGCACACAGAAGGGCACACTAGCCGCCATCTTCCTAGCCAGTCGATTACATTTTCTGGCCAATAAACGCGCTGTATTGGCTGGAGGCCCCGTCTTCTGGCCAGTCAATTGCACATTTTTGCATAGAAAAATGGTGACACGTTGCATCGCTGAGTGGTCCTTCTGGTACTGATCTTCATTCTGTGCTTGTATACCAATGCCTTTCAACACACAAAAAATAAAGGAAATCTATTTTCCGAAGTCAAAGTCATCGGACCGCTCTTAGCGAGACTACCACTTAATCTTTCTTTTTCCAAAATTGTTGGGGGGGGGGGAGGTAAACAAATTTTCTGGACATACCATTTTTCACTACATACCAAATTTTTTGGTAATATTTTCGTACATTTATCACAATTCTTGCTATAACTATTACTCTTTCCTTGAATATTTTCATAAATAAATATTCATAAATAAATATAAATAAAGGCAACAAATTAAATTAATAGTGGAGTTTTATGAGCAGATGTCTGATAACATACCTTTTTAATTATATACCTGAATACAATTTTCATATAAATTACAGACAAAACATACTACTTAATTAGTGACGCTGATGCCCTAAACCAAATCCTGGTATCCAAGTCATTTAAGTACAACAGAACAGAAGGTGTTCATTTATTCCCACGGAAGAACATTCTTCTCGCAAATGGAAAAGATCATTCCAGAATGAGGAAAATGATTAACCCCGCATTTAAAGTGAATAATTTGAAGTCTATGGTTGGTGTTTTTGATGAAAAGGCTAAACTACTTGCAAAGGTAAATAAATATTTTTATTTTTTATCAGTGAAAATGAAGCAATCTGATTGGCTGAGGAGCCTTTCAGAGCGGGCCGGTTTTTTGCATCCAGCCCGCTCTGAAACGCAACTGCCCGCTGTGAAATGCAACTGCCCGCTGTGAAATGCAACTGCCCGCTCTGGTTTTCGCGGCAAAAACTGAGGAGTGAAACAATTTTTAAACGAAAAAATCTGCCAAAAACGTTTCGAAAAAACATAGCCTAACGATAGTCAGAATACGAAAATGAATTGCATCAAGCCCTAAAGGCTTCATACTAAGCACGATGTTCACGACAATTGACAATATTTTGATATAGAAATGCGACTGAAAGTCGGAAAGTGTTTGACATGTATAAAACTCACGTCGAGAAAACTATATATTTTTTAAATGCTCATGTATTCGGCCACTTAAAAGCGAAAAAATTACAGCTTAAACAGATATTGTAAAATAAATGTTTTCCCATTTAAAAAAGGTTTAACAGCAGCAATGAAAACAAGTCACGAATATATTCTCTACCCATTTGTGTCATGTATTTTTTCACTGATATAAATATTGTAAACAAAGTAAAAGCTTGTGTTTAAAAACACTTTTTTCAAGCATATTATCGTGAAACGACAAGAAAAAATACAAAAATATAAAAATAACATACCTTTTTCATTGTCCTTTTAGTAGAAAAACGTTAATTAAATCAAAACAGATTCATTTTTATATGTTTTTGATCGGATCTGAACATGAACCTGTCGTTGTCAGGAGCAACTTGTCAAAGCCAAAGCCAAAACGCCAGGCACAAAAGTTTTTATTCCAAAGCTTCTCTGCTACCATATGAAAACAGCATGTACATTTTTACTAAACTATACATCTTTTTGTGTGTTTCTTGCCAGTTTTCTCGAGTTTTCGTATTCGTGTTTTATGCACCAGTCATTTGAAACCCCCGACCCCCCTCGGGGATACCCGGGGCATACCGGGGATATTCGCCTTGTTTTCACCGTTTTGTCCTTCCCCGGTCACTGGGGAATGCGCGAGCTTTCACTGCGCTGGCCATCAGGTCGGGCCAATGTGCGGGGGGATTCACCCATGTTGTAATAAGCTGACATGAAGTACTACCTGTATATTCCCTGTATTGTTGGCGCTTGTCACCTCGTTGTTTTTCTAAATCTTTTCCAACCTCGCAAGCCAGGCCTTCTACTATAAAACTTTTCAAGCTTCATGAGTTCATGTCGAATTTTTATATGCCTTTTGTATAAATTGAAATAAATTCAGTATTTTTATTTTCCTCGTTTGGTGAGAACTCAGGATCTAGAGTCTAAACAAATATGCTTTTCAAAAATATTGCTTCAAAATTACGCAACCAGCTAGCCCGAAAATACTTTTTAAGGCTTCAGTTACTATTTAAGCCCCAAATTATCCGAGCTGGCTACGCTGCCGCCAGGTTGCGTAATTTTTAAAACAGGTGTAGAACAGCGAGTTATGTGAAAACATTTAATAAAAAGTTTCCAAAAACGAAGATATATCATAAGGAAAAAAATTATATAAAATAATAAAATTATACCGAATGTTTCAATTCAGCCACAATTTGACATGTTAAGAGGCAGTCCGTGTAAAAACCGACCACTCGAATTTCTTAAGATTACAGATTTCCTTCAAACTTTCTGTGTGGAAGAAGTCATTCATAAAATGAACAAAAAACGTTGACTTGGAAATTGTAGTCAGTTTTAAAATTTTTTTCGCAATTCAGTTTTCGGACGCGTTCGAAAACAAGTTAAAACGTTAATTACGCAAGTGATATTTGAGCTTTTTTATACCTCACAGTTCATCTCGCGCTTTTATTCTAACTTCTTGAAACTTACATATTTTATTATTTCCTGCCTAGGCATAAACATAAACTAAAAATTATCCTGATCACTTGAAGCAAACAAAATATTGTGCATTTTTAAAAACGTCTTTCAGACAGCTGATTAAATATTCGTGTTAGTATGCTGGCGGTAAATTATTTTTTCTCAAAAGTGCAACGGTATCAGGTATCCAATCTATTGCAGCTACTGAGTATTATGACACATCTACTAGAATAAATAATAAAATCTTTGGGCAGTGTGTTTTTCGCCTGACAAGCGCGTCATGAATATAGTCAATTTTCGCTAATTCCTCTAAATATAATTTCTTTTTGTATTTACTTAAATTTTTCGCGTTAAAAACATACAAAGCTGTTTACTGTTTCAAATATGGCTGTTTTTTGGATAGAGAGTAAGTTATAAATATGCCAGCAATTATATATGCTTGAAATTTTACGTTTATGGGTATCATTAAATATAAACAAAAATGTATATATAAACAAAAATGTATAAGAAAAGGGCGGGAAAGGATATATGTGTGCCAATTTACACGAATGCCTTGAAGCCTTCAATTGGCACACATATATCCTTTCCCGCCCTTTTCTTATACATTTTTGTTTATATATACATTTGAAGGAGCACTTTTTTCTCATCATAGACATAGTGCAGATTTATTTTGCCACTATAAAATGAAACAAATATTTTATACATGTTTAATATTTTCATGTTTTTTAAGAACTGCAATTACATGCTGATCTCGGTTAAGGTCCTGTCGTATGAGAGAAACGTATGAGTAGCGTAAACCATGCATGTGCATGCATACGTCCACATACTCGAAAAATTTTTAACCATGCTTACCTTGCATGGTTCCCCGATTTTTAAATAGACACCTTATGATTTAGGACAGCAACGGCTAAAATACAATACATAATTAAAAAGAATTCAATAATTGCAATATATGAATAATTTAGACATTGTCCTCGCTTTGTTTACAACGCCAAATCACAGATTTTCACGTCTTGATACAACGGCTGCATTCAAGCCACAGCAAGTGCAACTTCAAACTGGCTTCAGCAGAACTCTTCCCAAACATAAAACCCATTAAATTAATACGATTGTATTAAATTCATACGATTGCTAATATACCACGAATTGTCTGTAGGCCACTATTTGCTGTATATTAGTTTCTCATTCCTGCCCGCATGCTTTTTTAAGAAAATGGCCTTGTTCGCCATTATTATTGCCATTTTTGACCATTATTATAAATTTTGTGATGTCTTCAAAGTGAAATTTGAAAGAAAGACAATTAGAAACGTTCCCAAACCAAATGTTAGTTAAAATACAAAATTTCATAACCAAACTGCAAGTTTTTCCCGCATTACATACACACTTATTAAATATCCAAACTCAGCTATAAAAGTTCTACCGGAAGCCAGGGGCAGGGGAGAAAAACGCCAGACGTTCTGGGTACAAAATTATGAAAACATGCTTTCAGTTGCACTTACTGATTTTGTGCTGTTTTTCAGAAAGTTGCTATATAAATGCTTAATGCGCACTTTTCCAAAATAAATTTTGTGGGGAGGGGAAATCCAGCAAATAATGGCATAATGGTATTGGCCCGCCAGCCCGCATCCACTTTAGGAGAAGCTCCGGATGAGAAACTAATATACAACAAATAGTGGGCTTTAATACTACCATTTATTTGAGGGAGTTTGTTTTGGCCGTCGTCGTCGCGTTGCCGTCCTAAAATCGTAAGGTCTCTAATAACCCCATCATGCGATCGTTAAATCACTTGCCGTTAGATGCCTCTATATATACACCCTTTAGTTACTGCTTCGCCCTTTCAGAGAGATTACGACATGCAGTCTTGGTTCATTTATTGGTTTGAGAATAAGTTTCACTTTCACTTAATATATACGCTTACTACATGTTTCGTCGGTTTTAATATAGCCTAATAGCTCAAAGCAACAAGAAAGAAATTCGTTTTTTACATCAAAACGTTTTTGTATACCCAACCATGCATGTATTAAAGTTGATTGTTTATAGATTCTAATTTCGTACCTTGTCTCTCTATGCACATGAGAGCAATATAAATGTATAGTAGTACACTCATAGGCGTACGGGATTCATATATCTATTGGAGGAGCTGTGGTCTATATTGCCCGAAAATATTTGGGCCCCTTTCTTGACTTTTCTTTTTGGGGATTTTACCCCCCACCCCCCGACTTCAACGAGTTAAGATTGTAATGATTTTACGATATAAATATACTGTTAAGACGGCGAAGAAAAACTTGAAATTACACGTTGACCGACTTCAAGCGATGACGGGGATTATATATGAACCGCTTTTCGCGCGAAAAACATTACTCTCTAATAAATTGTATAATATACTTTCTTCTAATATTCTCTTGTGATAGATGTGTACATTCGGAGGAAATCGGTGCATATAGTTTTAGTTACCAAGATCAGTATGTTTACAGTGCTTTCATACACTGATAAATAATAAAAAGATAATACCGACGGATAAAATTAGCAACGCGTGCATGTCAATTTCAGTCGGCACATGCGTCAAGACTTTTGCTCTATCACCCTCTATGTTATAAAGCTAGCATAAATGCTGGCATATTTATAACTTAGTCTCTATCCAAAAAACAGCCATATTTGAAAGATAGTCAACAATTTTGTATGTTTTTAACGCGAAAAATTTAAGTAAATGCATTAACAAATTATAGCTTATAATTAGTCGAATTAGCGAAAATTGACTATATTCATGACGCGCTTGTCAAGTGAAAATCACACTGCCCAAAGATTTCAAGTATTTATTGGTATATTGTTACGATTAATACAGGTTCTTTCGATAATATAAAGCGTGGAATAACAACAACATGGCGTCCATGAAAAAGGCGCGAAAACAGTCAATACTTCATGTTATCAATGTATAATGTTTGTCTAATTATTTACGACATCCTCCGGGGGCACGCGAAGTTCTCGGGTCCATCTCCTGATTTGTTCAACTGCTTTACACGCGGCTGTCCGTTTCGGTCGTGGAGTAATTTCGGTTGCTGCATTTTCTTGTTGGACACAATCCTTGTCTACGGGGCCTGGTTCTTCTGTTTTAGCTGCTACTTCTAGAGGATAAAGTTTCGTTATGGG